CAGGTCTTCCCGCTGTCACTACATCAGCTTCTGATGTAGTCGTGACCGATGTTGTAACTGGCGAAGTCACTTTTATACCGGATGTTCTAAGCACTGAAGGGAGCATGGTTACTCGAGCGGATTTCGAGCCAAGCACAAATGTTCCCGATATTGCTAGTTCAACTGTTGAAGTCGTAGTGACCAACGTCGTGACTGCAGAAGTCACATCAAAGCCGACTGCTGTCACGTCTGAAACTGCAACTGTTTCAGCCTAATCATGCATCAGTTTGTACATTCTGTATCTATTGTAAATATAATGCACTATAGAATAAAGAAATTTGTACACGACATCAGAAGCTTGTTAGCTGAACTCAGTTTTACACAAGATGAAAATTTAGCTTAGTTACAATAAATATCCGCTGTGGGAGTAGTCCACTATCAAAGAGATTCATTAGCGAAAGCTGACTATTGACAAAATATAAAGATGTTTAGCTTACAACAAACAACAGAGAAGCACTATTTTTGGCCTACATTATTTGAAAGATGTTTCTCCGAATTAGCTATTTAGCAATTGTGTGTTTCGCTTAGTTATTTTAATGCCCCAAGTGTACTCTTCAGGATTCCAGTATAGTAGTGAACAGCGAATATGAAGGGCATGGCGGTTGTATTTGTGAAATCCATAACTTTTTTCAAAACCAGCTACTAACTGAAATTCGTTTCAAAATCAGGACAAAGTATCCAAACCTTCCTTTTCAATCAAAAGTCCCATGTTTTAATACTATCTATCGTTCTCATTGCCTCAAAGACAAACCAGCAGATGATAGAGCGCCAGTTAAGAGATACATGTGCCAGAATGTTCTTCTAACTCTGATTGCTTCTCTAATTTTTCTTTTAATTCTGATTGCTGAAAGCCTTTTCATTACCCTTTAATTCTGATTGCTGAAAGCTTTTCCATTACACTTCTCCAATTTATAAGTAGATAGTATAAACTTAGTGAAGCAAAGAACAAAAATGAAGCACAGGATTTTCAAAAATGAAGCAAAAAAAATTTTCAACTTTTTTTGTGGTCTTTGTGCCAAATGTGCTCCACAGTTCAACTCGATTTTCTGTCGTATTCGTATAGGTTTGGAGAGAGTTAAAACAACTCGTCTTCCACAAGGATTAGAACCTTATTTTTGCATTTCACTATGACTGGGGGCGTTAGAAAGATTTTGAATTAATAGAGTTTTAGCATTAAAATAGCAGATAATATTTTTGGAACGAAATTTCTTCAATGTATAATACCTCTGAGTGATATCACTTAGAAAAAGCTATACTTAATGGTAATCAAAATTTCTCCAAAAAAGCAAATGTTTGTAAGATTATCAAACTAGTTTCAATGCATTCATTTTGGTAACCCTTTTATCAAGAATTTAGCTAGATTGAGCAATTCTTATAGTAACTTTCTACTCGGTTATGCTCGAACATGAGGTAGCTAAATAGAACTTATTAGACTATAGATTATAATTCCTTTCTCCCTTTTAACCCCGATAGTGCTCATATCTTCTTCTGAATATGAAACATTCCACGAAACTTCAAGTTTCAAGAATAGTTTGACCTGCAAGTTGTCCTCGTAAGCCTAGGTAGAGTGCGCAAATTCAGTTGAGCGCCTTAATTAGAAAAAATGCTATTGTAATCTGTTTGAGCTTGATGCACCCTCTTCATCTTACACAATTTAGTTTCTCCAGCCTGTTAAAAATCAGATAAGCTTTTGGTGGCCTTTGAATAATCTAAAATAAATTTTGGGGTCCCATAGATTATTTCTGTGAGAAATCAAACACCGAGTGTCATTTTAGGTTTCATTTGCTAACAAGG